ACCACACAAGTGTTTCAGCAAGACTTGAGTAAATGGATCACTTGCTTACCTTTTGCATCAAACAAGTTATGGGGAATCTTCAATAGTGGTGTCATATAGTCGGTCATGTAGAGCAAACCAGTAAGACGAGTTTGAAGCCAAAACATAAATCTACACGAAAAGTACATAGGCAAAATATCTTGTTTCGTGCAAAATTATATTTACAATCTTCAAGCCCATCTCTTAAATGGTTTCTTTCCACCAAAAACAAAAGAACCCTAAGTTTTCTAGATGGGTTTTGGGTTCTTACAAATTTTGGACCTTCCTTTAGCTATACAAAGCTTGACCATAGTCTGTATGATATGTTTGGGCTTCAGGGAGGAAGCCCATATGTATTGGGAAATAGCAGAACCCTACCTCAATTTGAATCTTTTGGTGTTTTCCTACCCTTCATTGTTTTGATACAATTCTATTGGAGAAAGGGATTTCGAATATATCAAAGTTGGATTTAGACATCTCATTTATAAGTGTAGCAAAATACCATTAGAACATGGTCTTATCTCAAATTTTTAAATGCCAAATGATGTGGCAACATCTCATTAATTTGTTTCTACTTGTGCCCATTTTCATTCTCATTTATTTCTATCTCGCAATTGACGTGATACAACTTATTAAATTGAATTGGATTAGATTCAATTTGATTCACACCAAAACTCCATCATCTAATCCAATCATGCCAATTTTGAAATTTAGAGATTCAATCCAATTTTTCAAGTCACTGAAACGATCAAAGTTCTTAATTTCTCTGCACTCAATCCCTACTTCTCACTTCTTTACTTTTTTTGTTTGAAAATAATGCACGATAGCTTTTTATGAGTGCAAATGATAGCTTCCTTTCATTTTCACACGTACATGTAATAATTAAATTGAGTCAAATTTCGAACCAACTACTCACTAAATTACTGTTGCAGTTTCTAGGTTGAATGCATTTACAAGGAGAATAGGCCAAATGGTACCTTAAAATTCACAACTCTAAGGTAGAGAACTAGATGTTTGCTCGTTAGGTGTGGGATGTGACTTTTGCCTTTATCAATCCTTGTTTTGGTAGGAAGGATATATGTACTATCTTGTTTTCATCAGATTCGAAAAGGGTAATATTATCCACACATTCATTTTTATTTTGTATAAATCATTTTCAATTTGGATTGAATGACAACTTCCCAAAATTTCATAATTTTATCTTTTTTCCTTTAAAACTCAAAAGTTGTAATATCGTTGCCAATACAAGTTGTATGTTTATGTTGATATTGTATTTGTTTCAAAACAATGTCGTTTCATATTGTTTCAAAAATAAATTATACTAGAATTTTAAGATCAATCAAACCCAAACATGACTTAATTTTAATAAATCATAAGTAAAGGTCATCAACTTGATCGCAAGTTTTATGTTTGAATAATGTGAAGTTCGTTGGTCTAAGTCGTCAGTCATGATGATGAGCTTATTTGGAAGTTCTTTTTAAAATGATTGAAATTGCTTGTAGAGAAAATATTTTTGGATTCTAATAGCACTTGAAGTGCTTCTTTCAAGATTCATTTGCGTTTTTATTAAAAAAAAATTTTTAAAAATAATTTCACTAAAAATATTTTCAATTATTTTAAAAGTACTTCCAAACAACTCTATCATCGCACATCATGCCTTAATAGAGTTAGCAACAACCGTCCAATTTTACCAAATTTGTCAAGGACATATAGTTACTTGCCACCTGAAATTAAATGTACCAAATGTATTTAATATCAACTTATGATAACTCCACCAATTGTACGTATCACGTGTGGTTGTCTTTTGTTGTACCACCCTATGCACTCGGAGCCAAACAAGACAACATATATATAAAAAATATCTACACTTACATAAAATAATTGAAACACCAACAAAGAGCGTGAGAGATCCAGTGATAAAGGACATGAACTAAAATTTTTTAATAAACAAAAAATGTGAGAAGTTTTGGATTCGATGCTCCGAGCTGGTGAGTCTGCTTGACTATGACGATAGGCAGAGTGAAATTCCCATAGCCTCTTCAAATGCCGAAACAGATAAATAACCGTGACTTATCATTCGTTGTCTTATTTTTTTAGAAAAATAAAAAACAAAGAGTGTAACATGGGTTTTGTCTTAGTGCTTCGTAGCATGTACTACGAAAAAAATATTAAAAATATTTTAAAAGATGCTCGAATATGTTGCGATGAAGTCCTAAAATAAGTTTGTATAAAGTAGATAGAAATTAAAAGTCGAGAGAAGAGTTACATAGAGTGAGCGAGGTTGATTAAATTATGAAATTACTTAATCGTACATAATTAAATTCAAGTTTTAGACAACTAATAATTTTTTTTTTCAAATTAAAATGAGGTTTTAGAGTCATAGGAACGATGCTAACATTACAACGAGTTTGCAGTGAGTGAGCCTAACTGGCGACCACTCAGATAATGACATGTGTGTAATTGTACTTTCTCTTATAGGTTTTTGTAACTTTTTTTTTCGGCTTCTAGTTGTATATTTTTTTTGACAATCGATATTATTTACATTAAAGATGAGGTGGTGAATTTAGTCTCACAATGAGCTAGTAATAATGTAGTTTAAATTCACTTTTAGCGAGAATCAAATTTAAAAGCTCTCACTTATCACTAGATCGTACTATTAAGTGGTAATTTCCAGTTGTATTTAATTTAAGAAAAATCACATGTCCTAAACCCATATCTAGATCGAATTCCAATTCAGATCCAGTTCTCTGTCTCCCCATTAAATGATCTTCGATAGATTTTTTTTGTTAACAGAGGTTGAGACACAACATTAAAATGTTGAGGGAGAAATGCAAAGGTCTTCTGATTCAGAATTTGTTTGATGTGAAATTCATATTACATTGAAATTGAATGAAAACTTATATATGATGAATTGTATTTTGCCATGAAAATATGAATTTCCGGAAAATATTTGTTGGTGCTAAAATGGAGAAGCAGCCTTGCAATTGTTGGCTCTCGGTTTCTAATTTTTTCTAACTTTTTTTTTAATCAACCGTTCAATTTGAAATGAATGAATATTAACCGTTTAATATACACTGTCTAAAGATTTAGTGTATATAATTATAAAAAAATAATAATAATTTGTTGAGTCGGTGGCAATGGCATTCGACAAGTAGTGGTTCGATGTCGATTTTTAATATCATGAGTGGAAAAAGAGTTAGCCCAGGTCAACTATTTGATTATGGTTATTGATGTCTTGCACTTCAGCTTTCTGACTTGCCTCCACAAAACTATGGGCTGATTTGGTATTGCTGTACTTTGAAAAAAAGCTGCTGTGAGAATAAGTGGCTGTGCTGTGAGAATAAGCGGCTGTGAAATAAATCAGCAGAGCGTTTGGTAAACGTTTTTGTAAAAGTGCTTTTGGAAAAAAAAACAGTCTGATAGTGGGTCTTTTCATTAAAGGAGCACTTTAGCTCCATGTGCTTTGAAAAAAAGCCAGTTTTCCAAAGCTGCAAATAGCAGCTTCAACTTTTTCCTTTGATTTCAGCTTATTCTCACAGCAGCTTCCAAAATAAGCCTTTTTTTTTCAGTTTACCAAACACCTAAAACCCTCACAGCTTTTTTTCATAGGTGCTTTTTTTTTAAGCACCTCACTCCCAAACTAGGTGTATATCACCTTTTACATCGCCAATTTTAGACTTTAATATTTGGAATTAACTTGGCTTTTAATAGTGGAGGAGGAGTTCCTCCTCAATTCATTTCATAGCCGATTCACGAAATTTCATATTTGTAAGCTATGTTTTCTCAGAAGTCGTTGTAAAGCGTATAAAGGACAATACTCTTTCCTCTAATTTTTTGTGATTAATTCTTTATTAACTCAACTTGAATTCTTCATGCCATGAAAATCTCTATATATTTTTTTTTCAATCGTAATTTATTACTAACATAATGTACACGAAACAAGAAGTTCACTGACTCCATCACCATTCTAGCTAGAACAAAGAAAACACCCCCACTTATACAATAAGTGGAAAAAACAACACTAATTGGTCACATGTAATTGTTTATTTGCACGTACATAATTTACTTCCCTTCGTCCTCGCAAGAAAAAACTTTCTTTCAGAGTTTTTTAAAGGAAAATTAAAGGAAAATCTAAAAAAACTTTAGTTTTAATAAAAAAAATGACAAATAAAGGTGTAGTGAATAAAAAAACTTTAGTTTTAATAAAAATGTGATTTTTCATTAAAATTGAACAGTACCAGAAGTGTTTCGTTAAAACTTCATTTTTTAAAACATTTAAAAAATTGGGAATATATATATATATATAATAAGTAATTTTAGATGAAAAAATTAATAAGCATGTGCCAATTTTAATATTCAGATATTAAGTATGATTAAATATAATACGATTACATTTAGATAATATGTCATTCTAAATATTCTGACAAAATCAGTCATGTTTAAATGCGTAGTGTTAATATCTTCACTGTGCGTAAAACTCATTCTCTGTAATCACGCTCACAATGACTAATGCTAGCACATATTGCGATTGTATTGGATAATAACGTACAATTTTTTTTGTTCTTAATTTTTTCCAGGAAATGAAGTATCAAAATCAAATTAACCACCACCAGATGGTCCAGTGTTGGGAACAAATTTTAGGCCCTATCTCATAGCACATTTTGATTCCGGACGCTACTGATTTGCACGATGGTGGTAAAAAAGAGATTGAAATGTCTACGTGAGTCTTTATGGCCCCCGAAAAGGTGGACTGCCATTTCTACGCTAAGAGGAGAAAATGAACTTAACCTCACAATGAACTAATAATAATGTAGTTCAAATTTTTCTTTAACAAGAATCAAACTTAAAACATTTCCCTTACAACTAAAAAGCAATATCACTGTACCGTAGCATCAGCTGGTCTTATTTTCAAAGAAAACAGTATCAAAATCGAACTATAGTTCACAAAAAAAAAAAAAAAAAATACAGTCGCAATTGTTGAAGACCGTTGTCAACAAGGACAACGACTTCCGCTCTTCCAGTCCGTCGGATGAACGCAAAAAACGACCAATAAATAAACGGAACTCGACGACTCACCAGCTACACGTACGCTTCGGCTCTCGTGTCAGAAGCTCAGATCCATTTCCGGCTCCCCCAACTGTATCTTCCTCCATACTCCTCTCTCTCTGTCTACATTTTCCCACTCTTCACTTTTCCCGCATTTCACTTTTCCTGTTTACCAAACACACACCCCTCTCTCTCTCTGTCTCTCTCTCTCTCTCTCTGACTCTCACTTTCTCTCTCTAGGAAAGCTAAAGCTTGGTGGTTGGGTCAGCCTCCATTTCGTTATCATCAACTCCTCCTTCGAGTCCGCTCTCTCTGCAACCAAATCAAACTGTCGGTGGTGGGATCGGACTTCGTTGATGGTTTCTCTCTCATAAAATTTCTCTCTCTAATTACCGCAATTTCTATAGAGAAATAGAAATTTCAGCTCCTCTGCATTTTCTGGTATTGGGATTTTGCTCGTTCATGCAATGCTCACCTGGTTGGTACTTAATCTGTTGATTTTTTCTTTTGGGTGTAATTATTTTTGGGTTTTGAAATTTGGGTTTAATCTGTTTGTTTGCATGCATCTGGTTGTGATTGGATTGAGTGGTTGTTTGGATTTTAGAGAGGCAGCAAGTGGGTTGGGGAGGTGAATCATGGACCACAAGCCATGGCTTTGGAGGAAGAAATCTGCAGATAAAACCAATTCAGCAGCAGCAGAAGGAGACAAAGTCAATGTCTCAGTCAAAGGAAATGGAGAGGAGGTACACATTTTCCTTAACTTTTATGTTAAATTCATAGTTTAGTGAAATCCATGATGTTTTATTCCAATCTACATTACCTGTAAGTAGGAGGGGTATTTTGATATGGATCAAAGTAACTAAAAATTGGACATATTTCAAAAATCAAAAGTTAATAAAAATTGGACCTATTTCAAAAGTAGGCCTATAAAATTGGATCTATTTCAAAATTTCCCTAAGTAGAAATGTTTATGGTTTTTCTTATGCTATTATGCTAGTTCCCCTTAAAAGGAACACTTATGTAAGGTCCAAGGTTGTTCTTGTTCCTTGGAGATTCACTTGAGACATTCTTAAAATCGAATAACTTCTTGCAGTTCAAACAACTATATTGGCATAAGGAGGCCATTTTTTTTTTTAAGAAAACTGGTCATGCATTACACTAGTGAAAGTAGAAACAGGAAATTGTAGCAAAGGTGCTTAAGCTATACCATAAGTTTGGTTTTGGTCCCTGAACTCTACTAACAGTTGCTCTCGTCCTCGAATTATGCCCCGTGTTGCACTTGTGATCCTTTTGTTAAGTCCTTCGACTTTTGTGTTAAGTTAAGGGGTAAATTGGGTATTTTAAGGAGTTTCGATCATACGCACGAAGTTTTGTGAATAGGTCACGAGCTATTTTAAGGAGTTCCTCCTCAATCCCCTCAACTTCAAGGAAAAGTTTTGGAGAAACTATTAGTAGAGTTCAGGACGAAAACTAAACTCGTGGTATAGATCAAGTACCTTTGCTAAAAGTTAGTCAGTATATCTTAGTGGGTTTTGATGACCAGAGAATAGAGATTTTACAGGAGAGTGGGTCAATTTTGACAAAATTTCCTTTTCAATATGTTAAGCCTTCAACTTTTAGATAAATATTTATATCAATCAGAAGTTTTCCCGCACTTAGTGGGAAAAGGCTTTGTTGTTTGTTGTTGTAGAAGTTTTCGACCGCAAGAACTGTGATATATCTTAAGGTTAAAAAACTAGTGCTAAAGTTTCAAAGTTTCTCCTATGTCAGAAATTAGCATTAGAGAAAGACACTAAATTGGCCCCAATTATCTATTCCACAAACCAAGCCTACAATAATATGATTGTCAATCAAAAGGACAAACCTGCGTGGGGTAAATTTTATAGAGACATCAGGTATGCGTCCCCTGTGGCAGCGGGGATTCTGAAACCAGTTTTAGACTTTTGATGATCCTAACCAGTCAACTGCTGTCAAAAAGGATTTCCTCATAATGTGTACAGTTTTTCTAAGAGAGTAATGGTAATTAGTTATCATCGTTTACGGATGTTTATGATTCCTGTTGTTTGAGGTTGCTACATATGTTTTCATTCAGAACTATGTTTTTTTATTCTTATTTTTTATTTTTAAATAATTTTCAGAACTGTTCAATATTCTTGGAGGCATTAATGATACTATTTTTCACTTTACTTTGTTTGCTTTCTTTTTTAGGTAGAAGCACTTCAGGCTGAGAAGGCAGAACTGGAGAACAACCTGAAAGCTCTAAGCGATAAGCTTGCTTCAGCTCTCTCTGAATGTAACAGTAAAGATGCACTTGTGAAAAAACATGCCAAAACGGCACAGGATGCTGTTCAAGGTAATTCATGAGTCGAAAAGTTCCAATAATCTGTGCATTTTGTCAGTATATTGTCTTCATTTTCATATGGATGTTTTATATAGGCTGGGAGAAGGTGGAAGCAGATGCGGGGTTTCTGAAGCATGAATTAGATAAATCTTTCCAAGTCAGAGCAGCTGGTGAAGAAAGAATAGCTCAATTGGATGGAGCCCTCAAGGACTGCATGCAGCAGCTACGATTTGTTCGAGAAGAGCAGGAGCAAAGGGTTCACGAGGCTATGATGAAGGCATCAAGAGAATTCGAGAAATCCAAGATGGCGTTGGAGGAGAAGTTAGCAGAGACTACTAGAAGGCTTTCTAAAATCGGTGCTGAAAACACCCATCTTAGTAACGCTCTTTTAGTGAAGGATAAGTTGATAGAAGATTTAAGAAAACAATTGACACAGGTGGAAGCTGATTTCAATGCACTCACGCTCAGATTAGAATCCACTGAGAAAGATAATGCTTCTTTGAAATATGAGGTACGGGTGCTTGAGAAAGAGCTTGAGATCCGGAATGAAGAGAGAGAATTCAATCGTCGAACCGCTGATGCATCACACAAGCAGAATTTGGAGGGTGCAAAGAAAATTGCAAAGTTAGAATCAGAATGTCAGAGGCTGCGGCTTCTAGTCCGGAAGCGGTTACCAGGCCCTGCTGCTTTGGCAAAAATGAAAAATGAAGTGGAAATGCTAGGACGGGACTCTGTTGGCATGGGGAGGAGAAAGTTGAATGACTCCACAGTTGATAACTTTCCTGAGACTCCCAGCAAAAAGGTTAACATTTTGACTGAGCAGTTATATGCTATGGAAGAAGAAAACCAGACTCTCAAGGAAGCACTCAATAAGAAGATAAATGAACTCCAGTTCTCCAGAAACATGTATGCCCGTGTAGCTTCTAAATTATCGCAATCTGAGACACCGCTTGAAGAATCATTAAAGGGCCAGGCAACCATGGAGTCAATGAGGAGTAATCTTCTGTCACAAGAAGTCTCTGTAGCATCTATGTCTGATATTGGCAGCGATGATAAGGTTAGTTGTGCCGATTCATGGGCATCTGCCTTGATTACAGAACTGGAGCACTTCAGAGCTGAAAAACAAAAAGGGTCTCTGATGAACAAAACTGTAGGAGCTTCAGACATAAATCTGATGGATGACTTTGTTGAAATGGAAAAATTAGCAGTCGTTTCTGCTGATAAACAAAGTGCTGGTTCTCCTGTTTCTTCAGTCCAGGCATTTGCGCGCCCCTTGGAATCTGAGTATTCCTCCGAACTTGTGGGCAGCCAGATGGTCCCTATTTTGGACGGTGAGTCAGGCTTCAGTTTGTCAAACAGGGAGACCAGGTTTAACAATATTGTCAATGGCAAAGCTCCTCATTGGGTTGAGGATATAGTGAAACTGGTGATGGAGCACAACCGTGTTGCAGGAAGAAGCCCCGAACAGATACTTAAAGACTTAAGAATAGCTTTGGCATGTACAGAAGATCCAAAGCCTGGTGAATTTGTTAATGCAAGGACAAATCGAAGCCATCTTGATGCATTGAATCCTTCCTCCGTTAAGAGCTGCACCTCATGGAAAGGTTCAGATAAATCTCTAGTAAACGATTCACCCAGAGGAGTAAGTGATGTGGACATCTCAAACCCACAGAAGAGTAATCCGCAGTTCCAGCCAGATCTGAGTAAGTCATTATGTAAAGTAATTGAGCTTATTGAAGGAATCCACGTTCCATCTCCAGATTATAACCCAGAGAATGGATCCAGGAAGGACGGAAACGTGTCGACATTTAAAAACTCGGAAAACGCAGGCTACATGGTTCGTGTTTTCCAGTGGAAAGCTTCTGAACTCGGTGATCTTTTACAACAGTTTGTTCATGCTTGCTATGATCTGTTGAATGGAAAGGCTGGTCTCGAAAAATTTGCCAAAGAATTAACTGCTGCATTGGACTGGATTTTAAACCACTGCTTTTCACTTCAAGATGTTTCAAGCATGAAGGATGCAATTAAGAAGGAATTTGATTGGGATGATACACGAAGTGAAACCGAAGGAGAAGTTGGAGCGGTTGGTCACTTGTCAAATGGCCATATTATACAAATAGAAGAGCTGCAGGCCAATCTGGTAAAGGAAAACAGAAAGTTAAAGAATGAATTGGTGAATTTAGAATCTGCAAGGAGAGAGTTGGAAGGGAGACTTCAGTCGGCCAGTGATAAGAGCGAATACCTGATTAACCAGCTCAAGGAATCTGAAAAAGCTATTGCCAGCTTGAGAACAGAGTTACAATGTTTAAGAGAGTCAAAGGAAATCGTTGAAGATCATTTTAAAAATCACAAGATGATGAATGACGATCTTGAAACGCAGCTTACTGAGGCCAGAGTTGAATTAAACGAAGCTCTCCAAAAGTTTTCATCCCTAGAAGTTCATCTGCAGAATAAACACAACTGCTGTGCAGAGTTGGAGGCTACATGCCTGGAACTGCAGCTTCAGCTTGATAGGTACGAATGCTGATATAAACCACAAATACACACACACACACACACACACATACGAATTACAGCTTTACTCATCTACAATATTCATATGCATTTGACGTATTTTTTTATTGGCAGTGTGAAGAAAAGCCCAAATTCCAATCTTAATCAGGAGGAAAGGAAAGCCCAAAATGTGAGTTAATATCCTATTGTTTTACATGCATTTACGTTTGTTTGAGAATCTTTAATTTGTGAATGGTAGCTAATAATTCTACGGTGAAACAGTAATCGCACTAGAAACACCATCGAGAGTGATCGACTTAAATGTAGACTGAGAATTCCGTTTTGAAAGAAAACTACTGCAAGCGAAAAATGTTTCTACCGTGCTTTCTTGTCATTCAGCTGCAATATTACACGAGTTACTGTTTTTACAGTTCAAAGAATTTTGATTCTGAAGGTAAATATTTATTTTCCCCTGAAAATTTCAGGATTGGGAGATAGCAGCTGCTTCAGAAAAGTTGGCCGAATGCCAAGAGACAATACTTAACCTCGGGAAGCAGTTGAAGGCAATGGCTTCACCAAGAGAAGCAGCCCTTTTCGACAAGGTCATCACTAATCCTTCTGATACAGACACCCCCACAGCCAAAGCTGCAAGCCAAACCCCACACAGGAACTCAAACCAACGATCCTCATTACTAGATAAAATGCTAGCAGAAGATGGTGCTAGCGTCAAGGACTATACGTCTCCAACGACAAAAGAGGTTGGCAGTAATTCGACTTCCACGTTCGGTCCTAATATCCTTGTTCTAAATAGTAAATACCAGGATGACAATGCAGCTGTTGGTTCGTTAGCTATAGTGCCCAGCAAGAAATGGGGAGGTGGGAGCCTATGGAGAAAGCTAGTGTGGAGAAAGAAGAAAGGTAACAGCCTAAAGACACCCCTTCCGATTGGCCCATGATCAAATCTCAATCAAATGATAACGCGATAACAATGTCGGTGTTCCTTGCTGTGTTTTGATGGCAGTTTTGTTTGTTTCACACATGTATTTGGAAATAATAAGGATATGACTGCTGTTGGTGATTTGAGAGATTGCAGAGTGCGTCCGAGAGGTAATATTTTGTGTATTACTCGTGTATATATATATCATGGATTTGTAGGCAAATCGGAATTTGAAGCAATGTCAGCACACGACGTGTTTGACAATTGTGTACCCCATCATGTATTTTCCAGTTTTTGCACACGTGTAATCTTCCAAGTAAATAAATATGTTTCTCTTTCGTCCTGATATATTTAAGTTTGCAGAACCATTTTAACATCAAGGAAGGATTAGCACCATTTTACAGCTGATCAAGCGGAGTCCAAAGTTATTACTTTTATTTCGGTCCGTTTAATAACCATTTCATTTTTACTTTTTAGTTTTTGTTCATTTCTTCCACTAGCCTTCACTTTTCTTCATTTCTCCCTTCTCCCACATACCATTCCTCTATCTATAATATACAAAAATTAAAAACAAAATGATTACCAAACGAGCTCTTGGATTTCTATAATGCGGCTAATGCCTCAGCAATCTGGACAGGAAATCAACCAACTTTCACAATAAAATTAGCAAAAAAAGTTACCCTAAAAATGCAGATTAAGCAAAGGCATAGTTTGATAATATTATTTAGCTTCCTGGAATCTGGTAATGCCTCAGCAATAGAGAGAAAAACAAACAGAATTTAGAAAATTAAGAGAAATGTGATGTAACATATAATGAGTAAAAAATATAAAGAGAGACAAATTCAGAAAGACGGTGCACATACTAATTACTCAGCACAAAAATCGTCTCCGGTCATGGAGCCAATTTCATGACACTGTATATTCAGTTTTAACATAAATCTCTTTATCTCCATCATCAATCTCTGTATAATACGAATCCTGCAATATCCTGGAGGCCCGCCTCTTTATATCGATCAGCAACCTGCCAGACATAGTCATCCCAAGTCCCGTCAATGGAAGCTAGATCCAGCAAAAATGCTGCTTCATCCAATGCAACCTGCAAATGATGGAACTCTGAGGATAAGAAATTTTTCTTTTTTTTTTTTTCCTATTCTGAGAGTTAATAAGGAATGACGGGTACAAAACCTGCGCAGGGGCCTTTCCCTTTTTAAGATCCGCCTGCCTTCCCTCCTCTGTCACCTTCTCCTTAATGTACTCTATTTGCTCGTCCTCCCATTGCGCTATATTAGCAACTTCCTGTATCGTAAGTACTCAAGTGAATAATGTCGTCGGTCGTACCCAGTGCACAAGGCTCCCGCTTTACGCAAGGTCTGGGAGAGGTGAATGTCGGCTAGCCTTACCTCCATTTTATGGAGAGGCTGCTCCCAAGTCTCGAACCCGAGACCTACCGCTCATGGGCGAAGGCACTTGCCATCGCACCAAGTACTCAAGTGAATAATGTCACAAAAAAAAAATTCATGCAGAGGAACAGGGAGCTGCGACAATCTAGGAATGATCACCAAAAGTAGAAACCTGATAGCTGCAACCCAGTGTCCACCATGGTGATTTTAGAGCTCCCCTAGCGGCGTCTTTAGCTTCAACAGTACGCCCGACCCTATAAAACATTTGATTTTAGAAGTTGGAACTTGAGTGATTCAACTGGCTAATTCAGAACAAATGCATGGGGGAAAGTAGCTAGCAAAGTTTTCTACGAACTTCAGCAAAACCTCAGCATTGAATACGTAAGGCCGTGCAAAACCAGGAAAATGTTCCTTCTTCGTATAGAACTCTCCCGTCACCAAGGCTGAAACCTTTCAAAAGCACACAAAGGAATTAGAATTGTAGATACACACTAATCAAAGATGCCTATAGGCAGTAACCAAAGTGAGGTGATGAATCTTACATAGTCCCCTTCCTCAAAATGCCACTTCACTTTGCGCTCCAAGACATCTGGAAATAAACCAACCTGAAAAGGAACCATTTGTTAAAAGAAAATAAAGGAGGAAGTGAGGTAAACAAAGTAAAATATAGAATTTTCTTTGGTACTTTTCTTAAAAGGTAGAAATCTAGTTTTGAAATCTGCGACTTTGCAAAGTCACCCTTCGTATAAAGTTTCTCCCCAACATCAGCAGAAGCTTGAAAGAGCTCTTCATTTCTTTCTTCAGAGTTCTTAGCATCTTCTTCAGCTAGGATTCTGTGAATAAATTGGTCCACCTGCGGATTAAAGATTGGACGTCTGCTCTGAGAAGAGTTGTATAGCGAGTACATAAATGCATTCACAGTCACATTTAGAGATGTATCGCACTTGCACCACTGGCATTGCTTCACTTACATTCTTGGCTAAAAGCCACACCCCATGCTTCCTGACCTCAACGACTGGCATGTCCATACTGCAGGCATTGGACTAGATGAATCAAACTTTTAAAAAAGGATCAAATTTGTTCTTTCCAAACACTTACCCTGCCGGAGCTGTAGGCCACCGGAGCAGTGCAGTTACAGCACCTATTGACGAGGAAATATTTACAAAATTAGAACAGGCAACTCCTGGGATAATGGGATTGGTCAAATTCCAAATACAAGTAAAGGTTTTCCATACCTGAGCTGTTTCTCGCAAGTGGTATGGCAAGGGGGATTAGCCCTTCCTTGGCTCCCGGAGAAACAATAGATTCACCTGTTCCATAGCAATGTATGTGAGAATTTAGTATTTACATAGAATTTCCATTAGCAATGTATGTAAAAAGCTCCTCTGAGCCAGTCCTTTGCAAACAAATCTCAGTCTGACATGCGTGCAAAAAGTTTTGTGATTTTAACAAGTTAGTTTGCAAGTGCGTCAGACCGTAATTTGAAACTAGGAGCTAAGCACTGTTCCATGTGAAATAACTCTAAATTATAGACCAACAGTTAAACACATTGTCACATGTTGTACTATAATCCTGAGAATGTAGCTAGGCAAATTGTTGTACTATAAATCATTGTCTTTTACAAGTGCCACTGTCACATTAGCATAATTTAAGGTAACAAACCAACATATGCAAATCCGAAAACACAACAAAGTGAGAGAAACCCAACAAATTGATGATGTTTGATGTTAGAAATGTGAAAACTTGAAGAGACCCACCTCTTGTCTTGAGCATTCTCAGCAACTGGCTCAAATGCTGCGGCGGCTGAGTGGAGGCAACCTCCTTGATGAAAGACACATGGTCTGCAATTTCCGACCACAAAATCAATTCCCAAACTTTAAAAAACAGTAACATTAATAAGCACTTTCTAAAAAGATCCAAGCCAAACAGTGCCTTAAGTTACCTTGCGTGACAAAGGAATAAGAGCAGCGCGGCCGAGCTCTGCCGTGCCGAAGAAGCACAGTGGGCAGAGCGGTGGCGCGAGAGCCTCCGCACACCAATCCGCCGCAAACTTTCATTTTTGTGGGTCTCTGGTGCTCTCTGGTTTGTCTTTTGTTTATCTTTTATCTGAGCATCAAAATTCTCAGCCACATTGGATTGGGCCACAAAAATTCTAAATTGACTACCCAGCCCAGGGAGAAAAGCCTCTGGCCCAGAAGTGCTATCTTGGGCCTCAACAAAAGGCATAGAGTTGTGCAAGTGTGTGCTTTCAAATACAATAAACTCGCTCGTAAGCAAAGGTATAGCTGAGTTTGTTCAGAGTATTCACCATTGTATGCTAGTTTTAAATTCGATTCACGTGTCTAAATTTTGAGGTAATCAACTTTTGTGTACATGAAAAAAATTGAGGTTTTAAGTAACCTAACAACTTATAAGCCCTTGCATAGTTTAGTTTTTCTGATTATGACTTTGTCCTCACATTCTTACACGCCCCCTTATTTGTGGAGAATTTTCAAGCTTAATACGTGGACAACACAAATTAGACGATTTTTAAAATATGCATAATAAAGGACCAAACTTTCTAAATTCCAAGGATCAATTGGAGAATGCAGATGGATTCATTGCAAATACTAGAACACATTTAAATCTACAGACCCACATAAATAATCACAGAAATCACACCAAAATCACCACCTAATCATCAAAATCAATGAACAATCCCACAAATTACTCAATGGCCTTTAGCAAAAATTGAATTTAAATAATAGCAATTAAATCCCAACGAAAAAGTAAACAAAAAGCCAACATACCAGTAAGAAGGGCCCAAACAGAACGGCGCGGGTTTGATGCTGGGAAATCTTACTTGTTAGGTTGGGAATTAGGGACGGGGAGGAAGCCGAGAGGTAATGGAGGACAAGTGGTCCTCCCATCATATTTTAATATTTTTTTTTCAAATTAAGCCCAATTGCCCAAACACACCGTTTCACTTACTTTTCTAGGACCGAAACGACGTCGTTTCATCCTGGACTTAAATAATAATAATAATAATAATACTAAGTTTTCCCTTCCCTGCGCAACTGTGGAGAACTGCTGCAGTTGCAGCAATTGTGAGCTGCAATCCGGTGAAACCAGAGGGGCGATGGGGCAGCAAACCATGATTTCTGGGCATGTTTTCCGGTGAGAGGAGGGGCGGACCCCTCCATGCGCCTTAACAACTTCGCCACTGCGCGCGCTTGTTTGTGCAGCTGCAGCAAAATACATGGCTTGTCTTCATTTCCGGCGAGAGGAGGGGCGGTTACTCGCTCCTGGGCTTCATTTCCGGCGAGGGGAGTGGCGGCCGCAACTTCTCACCCTCACATGGCTTCGCCACTGTATATATACACACACACAACATATCATAAACAAGTGAGCAAATATTTTAATATATCATCTTCTGTAATAATATTATAACACATAATATACAAGCTTGTGTTTTGGAACATGTAAAGTCTCTTCATAAGCAACAATTAAGGAGACTTCAATTTCAGCAATTGGACCTCTTTTCAAACACGACTGACATTATCCTCGTTCAACTGACGCCATATATTAGCTGCATAACAATTACTGACAAGTTTGCTAGTGCAGTTGCCGTGGAACACTCCTTGGATATAATTTCTTTTCTAATGTAATTCACATCTCAGCCTCAAAGTTAGACTTAGTATTTGTTCGGTTAGGGTGACAAAGAATTTAGGTTACAATAAAATAGAACAAAACCACCGTACTTTAGACCAAAAATATGGTTCCACCAACAGATCGATAAGTTAGAACCTTTAGACATGACAAGAAGTTACGTACATGTTTGATAACCATTTTGTTTTTACGTTTTAGCTTTCACTTTTTTGGTAGGAATAGAAGAGATGTAGTAGGGAGAAAAGCTGGATAAGCAAAGGTACGTGACCGAAGGGTGGTGTATAAATTTGGCAAGCTAATGGGTAGCCATATTTGATCGTCTCTGCATAAGGAAAAAAAGAACATCGCGGTTTCGAAAATATAGAGAACGCAATGGGAGGCAGTGGCGAAGCCACGTGAGGACGAGGAGTGGCGACCGCCCCTCCCCTCGCCGGAAAACACAGCTGAAGCCGAGGTTTCGCCCCTCCCCTCACCGGAAAACCCAGCCCCCCCATCTCTGTTTTGGCACCGGTGAACTGGTTTTGCTGCTGCGTGCAGCAGCACTGGGTTCTTTTTTTTCCTTTTAAATTAATAAAAAATTTAAAATCTGGCCCGCATGTCCCAAAGTTAGGCCCCTCCATGTCTCATGTCTGTTTCAAATTAGTGCCCCTCCACGTGAAACTTTCAATGTTTGAAAAAAACCAAAAAAATATATATGTATTGGGGGGACCGCGTGGCATGTCCCCCATTCCTTCACTTAGTCAGCCCGCGTGTCATGCTTTACCATTCCAAATTTTCTCCTCTTCCCCAATCAGAGAGAGAGAGAGTGCAAAGCTTCTCCCAAAATCTCAGCAGCCTGAGCCTGCAGCCAACGCCCAACCCCAACGGAACGGAAAATAAATCCCCATTGGCTGATTTCTGTTGGCTTTTTGCTGCTAACACTAGCCACTCCAGCCGCTAAGCCGACTTCTAGCCTTCAATTTCAAAGGTAAATTTTTTAATTCCTAAATTTATAATCCCTAACCCTAATTAATTATTTAATACGAATTTTGTTTAATTAGTATAGAATCATATGGTAATGCACTAATATGGTTATTGATTATTGATATGATTCTATGATTATTGATTGATATGAAATTATGAAATTATTTTTTAGGGTGAAAATTAAAATTTGAATTTTTGATTAGTTGTATTCATATGATTAGTTGAATGAATTTTTTATTTATTTAATAATTTATATGCTTATTGGTATTGATTAATTGAATTGTTGGTTGGGTTATTATGCATATAGTATAGTCTACTCTAGGATTAAGAGTCTAAGATTTTTTTTTCTTTCCATTTTACAGTTACGTAATGGAACGGTACTATAAGAAACAATGCTCCTCCTTCAAACATTTCGAGTAGTCCTTCTCCTTCAAATATTCCAAGTAGTCATCCTCCTCCTCCTTCAAATATAAGAAGTCCTCATTTGAATATTCTGAGTAGTTCACAACAAAGTGAGCCCACTGAGTTGGATGAGATATTGGCTAATCTTCATGCAGACCCTGGATATAGACGTCGAATGCTTGATTATCCACCTAATTATCGTGAAGCAATTCGTAGGCACTATCTCCAAAATGATCCTTGTCAACCTAGAGACCACATTATGTTTGAGTCCGGTGAATAATTTTGCATCTTTTGACAAAGCAAAAATTGTTCGTTTAGCTCAACTTTATCCTCAAGATTTTGATCGTATGGACCTCATGAATCTTCCAATTCAACTTGACAATTACATTCACGATATGAAGATGCATAGTGAGTTTTCATCATTGAGAGGAATTGGTGATCTTGCAAAGGAGTTGGTGAAGACTGGGAGGTGTGCAAGCTACATATTAGTGTATAAGCTTCTTACATTGGCTTTGGTGTTACCGGTTGCAACCGCTTCGGTGGAGAGAGCTTTTTCTGCTATGAAGATTGTGAAAACACCATTGCGTAACAAAATAGGAGATCAATGGTTGAGTGATAGCATGCTTGTTTACATAGAGAGAGATGTATTTGCTTTTATTGATAATGAGCCTATTATGCGACGTTTTCATGGTATGAAACGTCGTCGGCAACAATTGTAATTTGTTTATGTTGATAAATTATGGAAGACATTATTATATAAAATGATTTGGTTGTTGCTATTCTTTTGAACCTTGCACTCTTTTAACTTCGCCCCTCCTCCCGTCAATTCCTGGCTTCGCCACTGATGGGAGGCATCAGGATCTTCACAACTAGTTCAGTGAAAGCAGCGAGTCCAGATAAGAAAGTCTCAATTCCAAGAGTTAAGTCCATGGGACCTTCAGGTTCTTCGTCTTGATCACAACCAGAAAGGCCTCCTTTTCACAAACCTAAAAACTTTTCTCAACACAATATTTAACATCTTAAAACTTCCCTTTCTCGCACACTTAACTTCTTTCCACCACTTGCCGGCCGCCTCACAACTATCGAACACGACGACAACACTTTGTCCTTCTTCATCAACTGTAACAATGTAGGCGCTTTATTTGTCCATGCCAAAGCTGATGGTGTCACTCTATCTGATATTAAACACTCTCTCTACGTTCCTCATTATGTCCGCTCTTTTTTCCTTCTAAATGGTGCTCAAAACTACGAAGGCACATCCAGGCCCTTACTTGCCGTTCAAGCAACCGAGCTTGCGGATGGTATCTTCATAGGCTGCACCATGAACCACACTGTTGTTGACGGAACTTCATTTTGGCACTTCTTTAATTCTTGGTCTGAAATTTCTCGTGGTTCTGATTCTGTATCGAAAGCTCATCTTCTTGAGCGTTCGTTTTTTTATGGCACCATTAGCACTCCCATTCGAATTCCCATATTCCCCAATACTCTTGGTCGGGATCAAGTCTTCGATGATAAAGTCATTGACAAGATCAACATCCCGGCTGTTGTACCATTACTAAAAGAAAGAATTTTTCACTTCTCAAGGGAAAAAATTGCTCAACTAAAAGCAAAAGCAAATGCTGAGACTGAAACTGAAAACCCTAATAGAAAAATCTCCTCCTTACAAGCAGTCCTAGCTCATCTTTGGTGGTCCATCATACGTATTCGTATTGGACATGGTCTTCACCCTGACAAAGAGTCTAGTTACCGGTTAATCATAGGCACCAGATCCCGATTGAACCCACCATTGCCACAACAGTATTTTGGCAATGCGCTTCAAGCCGGGACAGTGACCAAGAAAGCAGGCGATGTTCTAGAACGTGGGACTGGTTCTGTGGCTTGGGAAATGAACAAGATGGTAGCTTTGCATACAGAAGAGAAAGTGAGGAGCTTTTTGGAGTGTTGGGTACGAGAGCCGGAGTTTATGACAGTGGACAACTTGACCGGTAAAGCTTTGGTCACGAGCAGTTCGCCGCAGTTTGATGTGTACGGCAATGACTTCAGTTGGGGAAGGCCAGTTGGGGTGAGAACTGGTGCTGGGAACAAGTCA